GCGCGCGTTCCGGGCACGGGGACTGGGTCGGGGAAAGGCGCGCGCGCTCCCGCTCGGGAGTTGGGGGCTGGGAGTTTGGCTCGACGCGGCAGGACCCTCCTCGAATTCTCAGACAGCCTCGTTGACTCTCTCCCTCCCCGTCATCGCTCCCCGAACCCGCCCCATCCCGCAGGCGCCATCATCGATCCCACCTTTTTCCTGAGCCGAACTGTCTCCAATGTCATCAGTTCCCTTGTCTTTGGGGACCGCTTTGACTATGAGAACAAAGAGTTCCTGTCACTACTGCGAATGATGCTGGGAAGCTTCCAGTTCACAGCTACGTCCACGGGGCAGGTAACCTGGTAACCTGTCCCAGTCGGGCCCTACCACAACCTGCCAGCGGCTCCCTTGCATGGGGACAGGTGTTCCAATCTCCCAGTCTCCTCAGGACAGTGTCCCTTCAGCCCCCAGTCTTGGGCAACTGAGCAGTTGTACCAGAACCAGGACAGGTGCCCAACACCTGGTCTCCAGGGACAACTGGATAGCTCAATACATGCTCCCCCAAAACAGAGCCCACAGGCAAGATACGTGCCACCAACTCAGCTCTCTCACCTGGACAGGTGTTCCTGTTCTCAGCTTACCTTAATATCTAACAGATGCTCCCTACCCAATTATTCTTAATATCTTAACACCTGGAAAAGTGACCACCTCAGCCCTCCTCTGAATATCTGAACACCTAGTGCTGCAAAATCCAACCCATCAAAATCATTTCACATCTAAACAGGTGTCCCCAACCAGTCCACTGGAATAACTAGACAAATACCTCCTACTTAACCCAATTAAGTACCTGCATACCTGGACAGGAACCCTAACCAACATACCTAAACACATCAATATCTGGACAGAGTGTTTCCCAAACACCAAAATAAGTGTCCCCCAACCCTACCCACTCACACACCTTACAGGGGTGCCCCCTCTGCATCCCACTTGAATACCTAAATGCCTGAACGGGTATCTCCCTTATTTCAATATCTGAATACCAACCCTACCTTAACATCTGAACACTTGTACAAAAGCCCCCAATCCAGATCACAAATTGGAGGTCCAAGCTTTACCTGCATGCAGCCTACTTGTGTAGTCAATTCTTCCTTGCCCACATCTTTACAATAAAATTAAGTTTAATATAAAAAAGCTCCCAATCCAAACCTGATAAGTATCTGGACAGTTGTCTGCAACCAAGCCCACCTGAATGCCTACACATCTACACAGGTGATGGCCCCCACATCAGCCCACTTGAGCAGCTAATTGCCTCGACAGATATCTTGCAACCCAACCTCACTAGAATATCTGAACACCTAGATGTGTGCTCCAATCCAGCCTCACCTGAATATCTGAAAACTGGATATAGACCCTAATCCATTTTGCCTAAATTCCTGGACAGTGGCCCTAGCACTTAACCCACATGAAAACTAAGCCCCACATAAATACCTAAATGCTAGAGCCCATGCCTTTAACCCAGTGCTTTCTTTACCCTGTGAGAGGTCTCACTCCCCTTGGGTCCTGCCCACTGACAGCTCTCTTTCCCCTCCCTCTCTTCCCAAACCCTAGCTCTATGAGATGTTCTATTCAGTGATGAAACACATGCCAGGACCACAGCAACAGGCCTTTAAGGAGCTGCAAGGGCTGGAGGACTTCATAGCCAAGAAGGTGGAGCACAACCAGCGCACCCTGGACCCGAATTCCCCACGGGACTTCATCGACTCCTTTCTCATCCACATGCAGGAGGTACACCAGCAGCCAGCGTGGGGAGGTGCAAAGCCAGGCAGAGGGTATCAGGTTGGGGGTGGGGGAAAAAAACCTCAGAGGCCCATTCAAATTGGCCCCCATCATAATAATTCTCACAACCACAGTTATGTCAGCTATCACTGCTCCACTTGAGCCTGTACCCATGAGCAGATCTTGTGCATGCAAATCATAATAGTTTGCTTCTACAGCACTGCTGTGGGCCATGCACCAAGTTCGGTGCTTTAGGATAGTCACCTCTTTAGCACTCACAACAGCTCCGGAAGGAGGTTCTCAATTTTACAAATGGGGAAACTGAGGCCCAGAGAGTATAAGTGATTTACCTAAGGTCACACAGCGAGGAAGCTGTGAACCCTAGTTCAAACCCTGGTTGCTCTGACTCTAAAGCTGGTGCTTTAAGCCACCCTGTTCTCCAGCTTTTCATATCCTGGTTGTCAGAAACACCTGTGTGGACTGGTGACCTGGCCTTACTGTGTGATACTGGAGGGTCTCTACCTCCATCTGTATGTCAGTCTCTCTTCTGTGAAAGGTTAAAGAGTTTGATGTTCAGGGTGAAAGATCACGGGATCTTTTCTGTGAGAGGGGATTCCTCCACAATAAGTTTCAAGGTTTCTAGGGAAGGAATACGATGCTGTTGTGTAAAATTCTGTGCCTCTTTCTCTTTTTAACTTTGTCTTTATCTTGTCATCTCTGTCCTTCTTTCTCATTGTTTCTTTCTATTCCTCTCTTTCTAAATATTCCTATCGTTAAAGTGACAGTGGAGCCTGGCACAGGGGTGCCTGCCTGTAACCCCAGCTGCGTGGGTAGAAAGCCCAGAAGTTCAAGTCCAGCCAGGGCAATAGAGCAAAACCCCATCACAGAAATAAAAGTGACAACTAAGCTGATAATTAAAGGACAGATAGTCAGCTAGGTAAAGAATGCGAGAAGGAAGAACATTTCGGCAGAGCTAGCAGCTGGGCCAAAAGCTGGAAATTGGTGAGCCTGGCAGATCTAGGGTCCCACCCCTCACCTTTGGTCTGGATCTAAGGGAGGTAGGTTTATAGGAAAAGCCCCAGAAGGACCCCAAGGCCATGGGGAGTGCACTTGGCCTAAAGTCCTGTCTCCTTGCAGGAGCAGAAGAACCCCAACACGGAGTTCTCCATGAAGAACCTGGTGCTGACCACGCTAAACCTGTTCTTTGCGGGCACTGAGACTGTTAGCACGACCCTGCGCTACGGCTTCCTGCTGCTCATGAAGCACCCAGATGTGGAGGGTGAGGCTGCAATGGGGTGGGGTGGAGGACCACAGACCCTCAAAGCTCCTCTGAGCCTGGTGCAGTGACCCTACCTCTCTCAGATGCCTGGACCCTCGGACACATCCTGTTATCCAGAGACAGGACAACATTCAGCTGATCGGCATCAGCTGAATCTTACTAGCTGTTAATTTATTGAAAATGTCTGAACTGATTGATAAATCACTCCTGTGCTCAGCTCACTGAGTGACCACTGCCCACTCCTCTGGATCATCTTTTATGCTCCCCCTTTGTGCCTCCCTTACGATTCTGGCACAACTAGATTATCAGGACGCTGCTCCAACAATGCATATGGCCGGCATCTGTTTTGAATGGTCTACATAGATCCATGTCACCCATCCCATTTACCCAGTTGGACTATTATCTCTGCTCTGAGACTCCTAGGTCCCTAAACACATTCCCCTTCTCCCCCAGCCAAGGTCCACGAGGAGATTGACCGAGTGATTGGCAAGAACCGCCAGCCCAAGTTCGAGGACCGTGCCAAAATGCCTTACATGGAGGCAGTGATTCACGAAATCCAAAGATTCGGAAACATGATCCCCATGGGTCTGGCCCGCAGAGTCACCAAGGACACCAAGTTTCGGGGCTTCCTCCTCCCTAAGGTGTTGTGCCCACCCAGCCTAGAGGAACCCTAGCACTCCATCCCCATTGGAAGCTTTCCAGCCTTTCTTCCACTTTCTCAATCTAAGACTGTCCCAACTACAACGTCCCTTCAACCTTCCCACTCAGAAACTCCTGCATCCTGTATCTCCCCAAGACTTTTTGCCTCAGGGGAATCAACCCCATTTCTGAAAACTTCTTATCTCAAGGAAATTAAGTCTCTTTCCCCTAGACCTTTTGTCTTAGGGACACGAATTTCATGCTCCCCATGTCTCCCAAACTTACTGTCTCAGAGAACATGAACTTCCTGTTTTAGGAACATGAAACCTATATCCTCCATAACTCTTCCCTAGAGGATTCCATCTCCCACATCACCCATTTCTCTTTCCCTGGGGCACTCTAATTCTCCTCTCCAGCCCAATCCTCTAACCGCACTTTATCAAATTATCTTTTCTCCTCCCTACCAGGGCACCGAAGTGTTCCCTATGCTGGGTTCTGTGTTGAGAGACCCCAAGTTCTTCTCCAAACCCCAAGATTTCAACCCCCAGCACTTCCTGGATGAAAAGGGGCAGTTTAAGAAGAGTGATGGTTTTGTGCCCTTCTCCGTGGGTAAGAGACCACCATTTGCTTCCAGGACACTGCTTAAACCAATGAGGGTCTCCCTCATCCCAGCTCCTGTCTCTAAGGTGTAGCCTGGTTTTCCTCCAGCTTGTTAGTTCTCCCTTAGAATCTACGCCCAACCAGCTGATATCCCCATAACTACCAAGCACCAAGTACCTAGTATCTGTGCCCATTTCAGAGATAAGGAAAATCAAGACCCAGAGTGAATCAGAGATCTGTCCAAGGTCACACGGCTAAAATTTCAGTTCCCTAAAAAGGAGATGACAGCACGGCAGTCATATTTGAGAGTATATTGGGCTGGAAGGGCTGGAAAGGAAATCAAAACTCATTTCTACAGCCTGGCATGGATTACTCCATCCTATGTGTGAGGAAAACTGAGGTTCAGAGAGGATCAGAGCCTCCCCTGAAAGCCTCCCCAGCCACTATATTCCAGCCCCCTCTTCCTTGGGCAATGCAGGTAGGTAGGGGTCAGTAGTGGGGTGAGGCTGCAGTGAGAGTGGGCTTCATCTACACCCCCTCACCTCTCCTCCTTAGGCAAGCGGTACTGTTTCGGAGAAGGCCTGGCTAGGATGGAGCTGTTTCTCTTCCTCACCACCATCATGCAGAACTTCTGCTTCAAGTCTCCGCAGTCGCCTCAAGACATTGACGTGTCCCCCAAACACGTGGGCTTTGCCACGATCCCACGAAACTACACCATGAGCTTCCTGCCCCGCTGAGAGAGGGCCGTGCCAGGGCAGGGCTAATGGGGGGGGAAGGGCGGTGCCAGGGCGGGGCTTGTGGGAAGGGCAGGCTAAGGGAAGGGGACTGACTGGGGAAGGGAAAGGAAGGGGTGAGGCGGTTAGAAGGAGAAACGGAAGGGGTTGAGTTCACCTTGATAGATCCTTCGGAGCTGGAATGAGAGGAAGGAAAATCTTACACTATGCTACGAAGAGTAGTAATCGTAACAGCTAGTATTCATTAAATAATACTCTGTGCAGCTCTGTGCTAATAATGTTACAGGCTCACCTCACTTAATGCTCACAAACCAATGTGATTGAAAGCAGTGTTCGGGCCCATTTTACACGTGACTAAGCTGAGGCTCAGAAAGTTAAGTTTGCATTCGATGTCTCACAGAGCCCTTTGGACAGCAAGCCCTTTGGACAGTTTCAATAAAGCCCTCCTCCCCCCATTCCAAGTAAAACAACAACAGTTTTGTATATTGCACAACCGAAACAACCCTGTCCTGGGGGTTTTTCTAGAGCTTTGATGTAACTACACACCCTTACCTACTCATGCACACATTGAACGTCAGGGCAGAGTCCGTGCCCCCTACCAGGCAAAGCTACTGTGTTCTATTCAGAGTCAGTCTGGGGACAGGAATCAGACCTCTTAATGAATAGGGTGACAAAGAGAAACTTGTTCAGATAATGCTGGGAGAACTTTGGATCAGGACAGAGCCATGTACATGAGTGTGATCATGTACACATGAACATGCAAATATATGGTCACATGTTCTCCTGTGTGCGTGCATGTAACACTTCCACTATGATTTTCTGAAGGTAGGACCCTCTCTGATGGCTCTGGGGTCTGCTGTAAGACCCAGCTAAGAGTTTCAGAATCACCTGCCTACTTTCAAAGAAGTTAGTGTGTGTCCCCTTAGAAATTTCCTTGCAGCTTTCACCAAAAAAACTCAAAATTTATTGTAGACCTAAATGTAAAATGAAAAACTCTAGAACCTCTAGGAGATAACATAGGAAAAAATCTATGGGTTTGGTGTTGACATCTTAGCTACAGAGCCAAAAGCATGATCCATGAAAGAAATAATTGATAAATTCGACTTCACCAAAATTAAAATTTTCTGTTTTACAAAAGACATTGTCAAGGGAATGAAAATGTAGTGACACAGTGTGAGAAAATATTTGCAAGGCACATATCTGATAAAGGACTTGTATTCAAAATATAACAAAGAATGGTTAAAACTCAACAATAGGAAAGAAACAACCCAATTTAAAAATGGGCAAAAGACCTGAACAGACACCTAGTGAAAGAAGATATACACGTAGCAAATAACCACATGAAAAGACACTCCACATAATGTCACTAGATAGTTCAAATTAAAACAGTAGTGACATTTCACTATACACCTATTAGAATGACTGAAATACAAAACAGTGACACCCCCAAATGCTGGCAAAGATGTGGAGCAACAAAATCTGTCATTTATTCATGGTGGGAATATGAAAATGGTACATCCATTTGGGGAGATGGGTTGTTTCTTACAAAGCTAAACATAGCTGGGCTCGGTGGCTCAGCCTGTAATCCGAGCACTTCGGGAGGCTGAGGTGAGTGGATTGCCTGAGCCCACGGGTTCGAGACCTGCCTGGGCAACTTGGTGAGACCTCATCTCTACAATAAATCAAATAATCAGCCGGGCGTGGTAGTGCACGCCTGTAGTTCCAGCTACTTGGAAGGCTGAGGCGGAAGGATCGCCGGAGCCCAGCAAATCGAGGCTGCGGTGGCCGGGAGCAGCCACTGTACTCCAGTCTGGGTGACAGAGTGAGACTCCAACTAAAAAAAAAAAACCTAAACATATTCTTACCATATGGTTAAGCAATCGTGCTCTTTGGTATTAACCCAAATTAGCTTAAAACATATATCCACACAAAAATCTGTACACAAATGGTTATAGCAGCTTTATTCATTATTGCCAAAACTTGGAACAAGCAGCCAAGATGTCCTTCAACAGGTGAACGGATAAACAAACTGTGGTACATCTATACAATGAAATATTATTTAGTAGTAAAGAGAAATGAGCTATTGAAGCCACAAAGGACATGGAAGAACCTTAAATACATATTTCTAAGTATAAGTCAGTCTAAAAAGATTGCAACTACATGAAATTCTCAAAAAAGTACCATAACTGTGAAGACAGTGCAAAGATCAGTAGTTGTCAGAAGTTTAGAGAGGAAGAAGGAATGAATAACTGGAGAATACAGGACTTTGGGGACAGAGAACTCATTCTGTATGATGCTGAAATGATAGATGCCTGACATTATGGCTTTTCCAAAACTCAGAACTGTACAACACAGAGAGTCAACTCTGGTGTAAACCATGGACTTTAGTTAATCATAGTATGTCAATATTGGTTCATCAGTTGTAACAAATGCACCATTCTAATATAAAATGCTAATAATGGGGAGAAGAAGGAAGAGGAGATATATGAGAATTCTGTATACTTTCTTCTCAATTTTTCCATAAAGTTAAAATTACTCTAAAGATAAAGTAATAAATAATAATCAATATAAGCTGGGTGCAGTGGCTCATACCTGTAATCCCAACATTTTGAGAGGTGGAGACTAGAGGATTGCCTGAGTTCAGGGGTTCGAGACCAGCCTAGGCAATTCAGCGAGACCTTGTTTCTACAATAAATCCAAAAAATTAGCTGGGCATGGTGGCACATGCCTGTGGTTCCAGCTACTTGGAAGGCTGAAGCAGAAGGATCGTCTGAACCAAGCAGGTCGAGGTTGCGGTGGCCATGAGCATGCCACTGCATTCCAGCCTGGGCAACAGAGTGAGACTTCAACTCAAAAAAAAAGTCAATATAATCTACCATATTAATAGATTAAATAAGAAAAACTACATAATTGTATTAATAGATGCAGAAAAAAATCAGTTGGCAAAGTTCAGTATCTATTTATATAAAAGTTTTCAGCAAACGAGAAATAGAGCAGAAACTTTCTCAGCTTGAAAAGGAATATTTATATAAACTGACAGCTAACATTACAGTTAATTGTGAAAGATGGTATGCTTTCCTCTTCAGATGAGGGATAAGCAAGGATGTCAGTTCTTTATGACATGGAAGAAGTTCTAGCCAGAAAAGTAAGATAAAAATGGCAAATAAAAGGCATTCATATTGGAAAGGAATACACTGAACTATCCTACTTACAGATGACATGGTGATCTGTGTAGAAAATCCCAAGGAATCTACCAAAAAAAAAACCCTCCTAGAATTAATAAGTAAGTTCAACAAGATCTCTAAGCATACAAAAATCATTTTAAAATTTCTATATATTAACAATGAGCCCTAGGAAATAAAAATTAAAAATGCAATACATTTACAAATTGCTCAAAAAATGAGATACTTAAGTATAACTCTAACAGCACTTGAATAGGACTTGTACACTGAAAACTACAAAATACTGATAAAAATTAATATGTAAATAAATGGAGAGGCATAACATGTTCATGAACTGGAAGAGTCAATATAGTAAGAAGCCAGCTTTCCCCAAGTTGATTTATAGGTTTAACACAATAATATCCCAGCAAGATTTTTTTTGTGTGGATTTATATAAGCTAATTTCAAAACTTACATGGAAAGACAAAAATAAAAAGTAAAAATAACCCCAGAATAACCAAAACAATTCTGAAGGATGATAAAGTGGAAGGAATCAGTTTTTCTGATTTACTCCCATGGGATTCAGCAAGAGCTCTATTTTTTTTCTTTTAATCACTCTCACATTGTCTTGCCCAGGATGGAGTGCAGTGACACGCTCAAGGCTACTGCAGCCTCGACCTGCTGGTCTCAGGCGATCCTTCCACCTCAGTCTTCCAAGTAGCCAGAACTACAAGAGTGCGCTACCATGCCCAGCTAATTTTTTGATATATTGTAGAGACAAGGTCTCAACAAGTTGCTCAGGCTGGTCTTGAACCTCAAGGCTCAGGCAATCCTTTCGCCTTGGCCTCCCAAAGTGCTGGGATTACAGGCTTGAGCCACCATGCCCAGCCAAGAGCTCTATTTAGAGATAAATTTGTAACCTTACGTTATTATTTTGGAAATTACATCGAAAAATCTGAAAATTCATAAACTAAATGTCTGTCTATAGAAGTTATAAAAAGAACAACACATAAAATGCAAAGATAGTGCAATGAAGAAGACAAGTTTGTGGTAAGACAAAGGAGCTTGGACTAGGGCAGTGAATTGTTGAGAAGTAACTAGGAAGATAAAGGTTAGTTTAACAAGGTTTGTTTGTACACATTTTCTTCAGTATGGACTTCCTGTCTCTGGTAATAAGAATATTTCCTTCCTCCTGGTGTAGGGAAGACACCTTTCACATGGGAATTTTATCTCCTGCTTTCAGGAAGAAAAACGAAAGTCAGACTGCCCTTCTGGAGTGCATCTGTTGTTTTTCAAATAACTTTAATTTAAAATAATCCTTATGCTATTGTGGCATACTTTGGGGTTAAATATTCTGCTACTCTTCAGTAATGTCTTTCATAACTGTAGTACAACATAAAAAAAACTAGGATATTGATATTGATACAATCTACAGAACTTATTCAGATTTCAGCAGTTTTTACAAGCACTCATGTTTTTGTGTTTATGCAATTTTATCACACGTGTAGATTTATGAAACCACCACCACAATCAAGATACAGAACTGTTCAATAGTCACAAAACTCCCTAGTGCTCCCCGCTTTATGGTCACACCCATCACCTCTCTAATGTCTGTAAACCACGAATCTGTTATCCTTTTCTATAATTTGTCCTTTAAAAATGTTATAAACTGGGCTTGGTGGCTCAACCTGTAATCCCAGCACTGTGGGAGGCCGAGGCAAGTGGATTGCCTGACCCCGCACATTCGAAACCAGTCCAGGCAACTTGGCAAGACCTGGTATCTACAATAAATCAAAAATTAGCCAGGTGTGGTGGCAAGCACCTGTAGTTCTGGCTACTTGGAAGGCTGAGGTGGAAGAATTGCCAGTGCCCAGCAGGTTGATGCTGGGGTATCCATGAGTGTGCCACTGCCTCCAGCCTGGGTGACAGAGTGAAACTCCAACTCAAAAAAAAAAAATTACATAAATGAAATAATACAGTAACATCTTCAGATTGGCTTCTTTAAAAACTCAGCATAATTCTCTTGAGATCCCTCCAAGTTGTTGCATACATAAATAGTTTCTTCATTTATATTGCTGAGT